CGTCGTGTTGTGAGAGAGACAGGATAATGGGCTACAGCACAAAGGACCATCCCAGTTCTGAGACTGTAGATCTAATAGAAATTATCTTTACTCGGATGAATGGAAGCTCCCACTGCAAGAGATGACACAGCTCCCTAAGGAACTGAAATATATACGGAAACAACTGACGTAGCACTCACCCGCATTTCTCGTTACAAAGGGGGAGCGAGGTCCCAGCAGGAGCCAGTTCTCTTCATTTTACCACAAAGTTATCAAAACCGTTTGAGCTTCAGCAAAGCTCTTGGCACGGGGTGCCAGCAGACTGGCTGCTCCGGCTGTCACCTACAACAGCATCGGGCTGACAGCACGGAACAGGCAGGCCACAGGCTGATGATTGCGACTGCTTAATAAATACCGCTTTGTGTCTGCTCAGCAGTGCCGCGGGAAGCCGGCGTTCCTGCAGCATCCTTGCCGACCGCAGCCCAGCTCCTCCGGCAGCACGGCACATCCTGAACCACGCTGCGGCACGGAGCCGCTCCCGGCACGGGAACCAGAGTCCCGCCGGATGCGGCAGCTCCCAACGTTTGCCTTCGTCGTGGCGGGGAGCATGATTGCAACCAAAAACTGCCTGCAAATTTATTACCTGAGTGTCCCTGGCTTCTACTTAAATTAGCGGATTGCTTGTAACAGTGTTTAGCTAATCTAATTATCGAGGATTAACTCTGGGATGGCGTTGCTTGGTTCTGTACACAGATTATGGTTTGGCCATCAAAACCGGCCTCAGCATTTTTACAGCTCAAGTTTAAATTTTTTAAAAATCAACATACTTGAGGAGCAATAAGTGATTTTTTTTTTTTTTTTTTTTTTTTGAAAAGTAAGGTACAAGCAGTCTATTGAGCTGATAATTTAAGTTTGGAGAAAAGCTGGTGTCACGTGGGTACGGTAAACCCAGCCCCGTCGGAGGGAAGCAGCCTTGCTCGCGTGGCACCGCTTCAACCCGTGCTCCCGCTGCCGCACGTCTCCCAGCTCTGCAACGCTGCCACGTGCTCCACAACGCTGTTAACGTTCACGTAAAAACCAAGGGAAAAAAGAGTCACCGCCATACCTCAACTTCCCCCGTTTCGTTTTCCTTCAGCACAAAACTGAGCGCATCTGTGTCGGGGCCCGCCAGCAGCCGGAGGTACAGGGGGAACTCGGTGAGAGGGAGCTTCTGGAAGAGCACTGCAAGGGGACAGCAGACATCCACGGTCAGCCCGCGGCTGCCGGGGCGGAGGAAAGCTCAGGAGGTCAACTGGAGCACGGAAAAGCGGTTCGTGCTGCTCAGGATTGCAGTGGAAGTAGCTGAGTCTCTGTCAGAGACCCATAACAATCTCTGTTAGGTCTTAGGTGACTTCAGCCCCTTTCTGAAAACTAGCAACTCCCCGTTAACTTCAGCGGCATCGTCTCTCGTGGAGGTCAGGCCATTTATTCATCTGCCATTTAGACACTGCCTGCCTGACACACCACCGGGTCCCAGAGGAACGCTCCGGGTATGGTTCTGCAACACAAAACTAAGCAAAACCAATCAGCCGCAGGAAAGCTGGCGGGTCCGAGGGCATGAACTCACCTTGCCCGTCCTTCCGCATCTCCTTGAAAAGTGCAAACTTCTGAGGATTATCCACCACCATGAACTTCTTCAGGAGCCCCTGGATCACCTCGCTCACTGTGGTCGTGCTGCTGATGTGGAGCTGCTTGATGGCGTCCAGCGGCAAGTAGAACGAGGTTCTCTTGTCCGTCATGCTGGCCAGGTTCACCTCCTTGAGGGCATCGTAGATGGACTGCGGCCGGATCCCCGCCGGTACCGTCACCGGGCGGCACAGTTTCAAATGCACTTTGATGAAACCTGTGTACGTCCCATCGTCGTTCTAAAGCAGAGGAGAGGGGGGGTCAGGCTCCAGGGAGCCTTCCAGTCCTTCCCCCCACCCCGAGGGGCTTTCTGCTCTACAGCGCTGCAGCCTGCGGGGTGACTGCAGGACTTTCCACCCCTCGGTACAGCTAGGAGTTTGAGGGTTTCTTATTAATCATGTAAAAAGTAACCAGTAATTTCGGGTTAGTCGCTACCGATTTTCTCTGTTCCTTCCACTCGGTAATGACTCATCCCTTCCTCGCGTCTGTGCGATCCTGTCTGATTTAAAACCAAACGCTGCTACCAGTCAGTTATGGAAACCATTACATGTAATTTGTAGTTGCACTTCAGTGAGGATCTGAAACCTCTGGGAAGGTCTC